GCCGAGAACAACGAATCATTTGCAGACCACAGGTCAGTGGAACTGAAAAAGATGGAAAAGCCCGTGCACAGGGGGGCAGTGGAAGCAGCAGAAATGACTGGCATGTGGAGACACTTCTTTACTTTTCTAGATTCCCATGAATGAAATTGAACAAGGCAGTGGAGTGAGAAGTAGGAACATTGGAATGTTAATACAGGACAGCAGACTGCAGTTTTGTTATTTCTTTGAGGAAAGAATTCTAAAAAGCTGGGAAACATCTTGCTGAGAGCACTTCCGCTAACAAACAGGAGCTGTAGCACTAGTTTGGCCTTTTTTTTAGTTCAACCTGTCTCATTGCATAGACTGCCATGTGCTGTTATTCCAGTAGTGAAAAACAGCTGTCTGTGACGTTGAAAAGGAATCTTTTATATGCTTTTTGCAACAGCTGTTCTTTGCTTGTCTGCCTGTTTGTCTTGCTAAATCAGGCTGATGGTTAATGCTGTTGTGGACAGCAGTGATAGAAACAGCACAGCTCTACCATGCGTTTTCCCTTTTGGCAGAGATAAGCCTGTTTTCCCTTCAAATAGCATCTGCAACCAATTAATCCCACAGTATTTTTCATCACATTGAGATTTGCTGCATCTGACTGTTACTTCCTTTGCTGTAAAAGCCAGAGCTTCACAGCCAAGGCACAGACTCTCTGCTTGGCAGCCTGGTTGGCCTATGCGACGCTTGCGTGGCTGCGTTTGTTTCCTGCCCAAGAAAGAGGAGCGATGCCGTGGTGTGTGAGCTGCTGCCATCGGGCAGACTGACCATCAGGGACATTGATACTGGTGTCAGTGATTTCCAGGCTGCCATGTTACATGAATATGCTTCTAGTTCTCAGTTAACTCCTTTGTGAAGTGCACACTCAGTGATTTCTTCTTAGACCCAAGTGTTGCTTTAGTTTCGTTGTCCTGACACATCAAAACATGTATATGGTGGGGGAAACCTTGACTGAAGTCACGTTCTCTGTTCCTTTTGCCTTTCTTGCTACTGCCTTCCTCACAAATAATAATTTTAGTTTCCTTACAGTATGCAGGTTAAGATGGAGGTTTGACAGCTGTTACTTTTCTCACAGCATGGCTGGATTTTGTTTTGGTGTTGAAAAGTAATGCTTTCTTCTGCTGCTGCCCTACCTCATTTCATTTTAAGATGGGGTCATTTTCATAAACTGCCTTGCCTCTAGCCCAAAATATCATGCTATTTAATAGCTGTCTTGTCTGTATTTTTTTTTACTGTGATATGGCCTGTGGTATATCATGAGTGAACACTAGCATGATGACTTAACATCAGCTCTTTTATATAGCTGTTAGTCACCATAACATTGAAACCACATTTTTTTCCTCTTCTCCTTTTCCACTTCCTTCCCTGCTTCCTCTTTTTTCTTTTTTTCTTTTTCTACAGGGAAAATATCCTGAAAACAGCAAAAGCTTTAGTTGAAGATACAAAATTGTTGGTCTCTGGTGCTGCCTCCAGTCAGGACAAGCTGGCCCAAGCAGCTCAGTCATCAGCTAACACCATCACTCAGCTTGCCGAGGTAGTAAAGCTGGGAGCAGCTAGCTTGGGATCCGACGATCCTGAAACACAGGTGAGATGTTTTAAGGTTTTTCTGATACTCTTAAAAGAGACCAGAGACAGTTTTCAGTTGGTAAGATTTTGTGGGACTTCTGCTTTTAAGCAACTGGGTAGAGTTCATCTCTTCTGGGACTTCTCTGGGTTTACTCCAACATCACTTTCCTCAGAGTGTACAGCGAAGAGGTTGAACCATTGAGTGGAACTAGACAAGCCTTTGTATAACACTTTTACTTTTATTTCATGGGTGTGTTCAAGCTGGGATGCTTTTGGCAAAGTATTTGTCTCATTCTCACTAAGTTGTGATTTGGCCCCTGACTCATCCCATTTTTGTTCTAACAAGCTGGAATGATTTAAAAGCTGCTTACCCAGCTTACAACTGGTTGTGTTATTTGTGTAGGCTAACCAGCTCTTGCCATTGTCCAGTAATATCTGAGTTCTTTGCATTTAACTCTGTAACTTCAGCCTTCACTAGAGATGATCTCAAATATTTCTTCAGTTGTTTGGGTCTTGGTGAATTGGAGGTTGGCAGGCATATTACAGGTGTGCCTGTGGTGGTACCAAATCAGTTTGAAAAAGCCTGATCATTTGCATAATGCTCTGAAAGGCTTGTGTATCCTGATTAGTTTGACAGACTGAACTTTCAAGATGTTTCTCTCTAGGAAGATACTGCTGGAAGCACTTTTTTTTTTTTTTTTTACGAGAAGGATTTCCACAAACTAGCAATATTTGCAAAACGTTTATCACACATTGTTTTTCTTTATGTGTAAAAGCTGAGAATACAGTACTTGGAATAAAAGCTATTGTGCACAAGTAATTATTTAGAGCAATTTTACATTGCCAGTTTGAAATGGTAGGTGCATTGTTGGTCTTAAATGAACTGTTCTGAATTCCAGCAAAATACTTAAAACATCTGAGTTTCTACTAGTGAAAGAGGGTAAAGGAGAACGAAATGGAGGACAGAATTATTCCAATAATACCCTAAAATAAGCCTGTTTTAGTGTCTGTATTATGTCTAGGACTTCTGTCTTTGAACTTGGGCTTAGGAGACTGTATCTCCAGAATTGACTTTTCCTGACTTTAAGACCAACCCATTTATTCAGCATTTAATTCTGTATAGCCTCTTACAGAGCTTCAGTTTCCTTTTCCCCAAAAGAACACCTTCCTCTTAACATCTAGCCGTGGCAAGTACATCTGATCTTTCAGTAGGTGGTTTCAGAGTTGGTACAAAACTCTAGCATTAGACTGTAAGCTTATAATCCATCTGTTTTCTTGCTCTCATCCTGCTTCCACCCAAAGGGCAAAGAACATAGAGAAAAGTAAACTTCCTCTTAGGGAAGCTTAGAGGGAGGAAATCCTACCTGCAATCATTGTTCCCATTTCTTCACAGGAAATGGTAACTTTTATAGCTCCTGACTGGTTTTATTAAATACTAGCTATCAACACAGCTTTTCCTCTTTCAGAATATTATGTTTTACTGGGGCAGGAGGAGGGTGGTTTTATCTGTGTACCAGTAGTAGATTTTGTTTAGCTGTGTCTAAAACTTGCCTCCTCACCCAGACTATTTCTTGCCAGAGGCTTATGGTCATTTCCCATTCCTTCAGGTTGTACTCATCAATGCTATCAAGGATGTTGCAAAGGCCCTTTCTGACCTCATTGGTGCTACCAAAGGAGCTGCCAGCAAGCCAGCAGATGATCCATCCATGTACCAGCTTAAAGGTGCTGCCAAGGTAAACCCGTATGCTTATATTTTATTTGAAAGTGTCTCTGCAATCACACTTGAGAGACATGCAAAGCTTGGATTTCAGCCATTGCTGATTGCCAGAGATCTCATATCTTTCTTTGTTTCATTAAGATCCTGAGATGATGCAGAAAAATAAGATGGTTTTGAGTTTCCATGAAGCTATCCGTTTTTGTAGGCTGCCGTACGACTTTTGTGTTTTTGATGGAAGAACAGTAATCTTTCTGAAGAGAAACTTCTTTATTTTAAAAGTTTGTGTTTGAGGGCAGGGTCTCCTTTAATCATGTTATAGACTACAATTTATCTGGTGTAAAGATGGTACTTAAATGCTACATTGTAAAAAATAACATGCTTACTTCTGCTTTCACATTGTTAGTGTCATGGTAGCGTCTTTCTTGGCTGGAAGCTCTTTTCAGCCTCATGTCAGTTGCATACCTGTAAGATCTGTGCCTCTCAAGAGCACAGTAAAAGTACATGGTTGAGGCACTGCTTGAAAAAATGACTGATCTAGTGAAGAAAAGGGGCTTCTCAGCTGTTCCTGCTCTGAAGAGCTCTTTCAAGTCATAATTGTCAAGAAGCTGGCCTCCGTCTCTTCTGTTTTCATTCTATCATTTGTGTCTCAACATACTGGGGCATGGGAAGGCTGTAGTTGTTACAGTGATAATCAGATTATTCTGCATCAGGACTCTTTGGTTTTCAACAGGAACAGTAACACTGATTCTCTCTTTGCACTGGGGCTTGAGTCTGGGGTTTTATCTGACTGTGGAGAATCTACTAGGTAAATTTCAAAAATAAATAGCATAGCTTGATTCACATCTTTTAGTTTGAAATGTAAGATGTGTGGGAAGACACTGACATAATCTGTGTAAGAGACCTACCCTGTTGCACATTTTCCATTTTTTGGTAACTTTTTTTGCCAGAACACTCGCACTTAGGATGGCATCACTCTGCAGTCAGTTGTGGTACATTTCTGCAACTTACAGGGAGCTTTCAGAAACTGACCCACATGGGATTTGGTATCTAGTCCCATAACAAGTACAGTTCATGAGCCTCTTAAGCCCTATTAGAAGTAATAATGCTACCTAGCTTAATTTGCCTTGCTTCATACTCTGCTGTTACTGAAAAATGGGAGGGAGGAATCACATGCTTCTGACTTCACCTCTCTCTTCTTCAGGTGATGGTAACTAATGTAACATCGCTTTTGAAGACTGTTAAAGCAGTAGAAGATGAAGCTACTCGAGGAACAAGAGCTCTTGAGGCCACAATTGAATATATCAAGCAGGAACTCACGGTACAGAACAAAATAGCCATTTGTGGCAGTTTTTGAAAGTATGCTCTTGCACTGCAACCAGCCTGTCCAGGCACTCCTCAAGCTGTGCTTCACTGCCTTACCAGGCGCTGGATGCAGTTGGGTTCCCTCTGCCTCTTGCCAGTCATCTCTGAAAGTACAATTACAGTGCTACTACAGGCCCCCACTTTGAGATCTGAGGTGCTCCTGTCATGTACAAATCTGGAAGTAACTGCTTCTTTGTTCTTCGGACATTTACTTTCACTACAGATACTGTTTCCAACTCAATGCCGTTCACGTTTTTTGATCCTGGCTTTGGTAGAGCCTCCCTATACTCATGCAGATCAACACTCCCACCTAGTTTGGTGTCATCTGCAGACTTACTGATGATACACTCTAGGTCCATATCAAGATCATCAATAAAGATGTTAAACAGTCCATTTTTATTTAAAAAAATAGACAGTCTTCAACAGAAAATATTTTGTATAGTCTGAATTTGCATTTCTTACTCTAACTGCACTGGCACAGTTTAGCCTTGTCAAGTGCTCACCCTAAAACATCTGTTTTTCCTCTTGTGAGCAATGCTGTTGGAAGGAACAGTAACTTTTTTATTTGTGTATCATTGTTAGGAATTTATACAGTATCTGCAGTGGTAAAAATTCCTGATTTCCTATCTGATCAGTAATGTTCTGTATGATATCCAGTGTTTATTACTGCCATGTATCCTCATGAAAACCTGTGCAGATTTGTCATTAATGGGTTGTACATGATCACAGCTGCTTTCTCAGTCTGGTTCATATCTCGGAAATGCTCCTCATCATCCTTTTTCCTTTTGTCAGCATTGCTGAGGAATCAGTCTGTGATGGTGGTGAGATCTCTTTCACAGACAGAGCAGTGGAGTACTGGGAAGAGGGTTGATAGGAAGCAAGGGTGGCAAGTAGGTGCTGAAGAAAATGCCTCACATTTGACTTGGAGCTCCAGGGACTGGATCTGAGCAATGTTGAGGGATTTCCTTCATGTATTTAACTAGACCTCATTTTTTACATTGCTTCCATTCCTGGAGACAGAAAGTAAAAAACTGATGAACTGGGAGCATGGGATCAGCCAAGCTCAGTTTTCTCCAGACATTTGCATCTGTAACCACTAGCCTGCTTAGGTTGCCCTTTGTGTAGTCAAGAAATCTCTCCTGATTGTGCGCTCCAAATTGCCGCTGCACAGTTAAAAAAATGGCAAGCAAATACACACTAAAGCTTGGGAAAAGGAATTACAAGAGAAGAGTGATGTTACCCAGCTCTTATTACCTTCATAGTACCACAGTTTGTCTATTCCAGTATTGGTGAAAACAGTGTGCCCTGTCAGATAATTTGAACTATTTTCACATGATTCACCCTGCAACGTTGTATCTTTAGGTTTCCAAGGGAGACTAAGTATAGCATAAGAGACAATGCTCCACCTCCACTTTAAGAGACATTTGAGTATTTTAGTGATATTCTTAGTCTGTCCTGCTTTGTGCAGCAAAAAGGGCTTGGTAGGGCCCAGCCTTTGCAGGGGAAGGATTTCTTAGTGTGAGCAGACCAGCTGAAGCAGCAGTCAGGATGAAGAAAGAATATCATTACATGAATATTCATTATTTTGATCCTGAAACCTTCTGAACAGCTGTCTGTAACTAACTGTCATCCAGGTAGATAAATGACAGATGAGATTAATGGGTTAACCTTTCTTTGTATGCTTTCCTCAGCTTATTGTTGCTCGCTGCTGTCTCTAGGTGAGCAGGCTTATCAGGACCAGGCTCATGACAAGCAAGAATAATATTCAAGTACTCCATATATGTCTAATTTCCTGCTGTTCAAAGGCTACTTCCAGTTGCTGTCTCTTTCGTGGTTGTTCTGCTTTGACTTGAATGGTATCAGGCTTTCCTTCTGCTTTCACTTTTAGGTGTTTCAGTCCAGCCAGGTTCCAGAAAACACATCATCACCTGAAGAATCAATCCGGATGACGAAAGGAATCACCATGGCAACTGCCAAAGCTGTTGCAGCTGGGAACTCATGCAGACAGGAGGATGTGATTGCCACAGCAAATCTGAGCCGCAAAGCAGTATCTGACATGTTAACAGCTTGTAAGGTAAAGATTTGGTTCCTTGCCTAAGACTGATCTTGTTGTGTTTGCATGTCTCTATGTCCCTTGAATGTTATGGTTTCTATTCATTTTTCTGTGTATTAATGCTCTGGTTTTCAGATGAGAAAATGGTTATGGTAATTTTAAGGGAATGTCTCTTTCGATTTTCTGTGCTATGCACAAAAAAAGAAGGAGCTCTAATATTGACTATTTTCTTGTAAAAACTGGAAGTTTTATTTGACCTGAAATTTTCTAGTTTTCAGTCTCCTATTAAACTGGAAGACAGTTTGTGCAAGTGGCAGAATATACAGATAATTCTGTTGTCACAAATATGATTTCAGTATTTCTAGGAACAGTGAAAGAATAGTGAAAGGAATCACTCAAATCTGGTTTTGGTAGTCCTCTGCCCCTTAACCACACCTATTGGTTTGCTTGATTTCTTCTGTTCCTTTCAAAAATGTTTTATTTTTGCACTAAAAATATTGGTATCCTGTTTTCTAGACTAGCTTGAGCTAGACAACTTTCAAAAACTGACTTGCAGAACTGGGGGGAAAAGCATGTGTCATAAAAATGGCTATTAAACCATTTGGCTTGGTTGTGATGATAAAAAAGATCTAGGCTTGCATTGAAAAAAATAGAATGATAAAGATGTTGTTTCTTTTCATCTTCAGTAGTAACACAGAAGTGCCTTTTCCTGTAAATTGTATTTATATACTTTTGCTTTTATATGTATGGAAGTTGATGGTAAAATAATGGTGCTCTCTGTGAGGTCTCTGATTTTCAGGATTTGGTCAAATCCAAACTGCCTGTCTCAGTTCAAGACTAATTTCTAGCCTAATATTGCCCAGGTGGAAGGGTTAATTTTGTTCTGAAAATGGTCCTCATACAAAAGTGCAAGTTTTAATGTAACTTAGAACTGGATGAATGTAGCTTATTATTTTGACTTGTTTTTCTGACAGGTTTTTTAGTGTCTGAAAGCCGTCGACCACTTTGCATCTTCACATTTTGATTCTGTCCTCTCCACTTAATAAATTCAGAATGTCAACAAAACCAAGCAGCTCTAATTTGCATGGGAAAACTGTGCAACTTCAATAAGAACTACAATAGCCTAGTATGTATTAAATGCAGTCCAGTTAATTGAAACTTCTAAGGGATGCTAAGAGCAGTTGATACTTGTGAAATGTTCTGACAAACCAATTCATGAATTCAGATGCTGAGGCACACTAAATATCCTTTGTTGTTTGGAAGTGGCTGGTGCAGACACTTTGTTTCCATCTCTCTAAACAGGCGGCAAATTCTCAGTAACAGAATTCTTTGTTTCCAAAAATTTTATAAACACATTCACATATATAGCCAAATAGGTAAGGTTGAACGTTTAGTTATGAACATTCATATTTTTGTGTTTACATTTGCTCTAAGTTAATGTAATGTTTGGGGGTTTTTGCATTACTAGCAGTTACAGGATGAAACTTCTTGCAAACTGAACAATGGAGGTCTAGGGTGCTGGAAAAGCTTTCATTATCTCCTTCACCACAAAAGAAATCTACAGAAGGAAAATAGCTGAGTATCATTTTACTTACCTGTGAGGATACACTGACAAGGAGCCTTTCTCAGACAATTTTCTCCTCTATGAATTAGGTTCCCCTAATCTAAATTAATAAGAAACCCTCACAATTAATAGCAAACTTGCTATCATATGGCTTAGATGAGTAAAAGCGAAGGTTTAAGCTCTAGTATTATCTTGCCTAGCTTTCCTAAAATTAAGAGCAGTTATTGGCCAAACAGGAATAATAATCTCTTAATTTTAAGTACTATCTAAAATGTATTACAAAATAGCTGTGTCATTTAACAAAGTCTTTAAATAATCAGTTTGTACCAGACTTCAATTTAGAAAACCCTGTTTCTGCAAACTGCTCAGAGACTTAGAAATCTTACACCATTAATTTCTATAAATTGATTGCTCTATCAGGTATTTCCATGATAAGTCAAGTCCCTTGAATTTTAGGGGTAGGAAGCAGCAGTCTTAGTCTGACTATGCCATAAAAGCTGTGCAATGCAGTGCAACTTGGGTTTTGTGACATTTGATAAATAGTGCTTCTAGTGTGATTAAGCTAAGCAGTGACAAATAATCAGATTTTTACATCCTTTTAACTAAAGTAAAATTGTGTGTCTATGATCTATGGTAGAATTGTACAGAACATATCTCAGACTTCCCTTGTGTCAGGAATTTGAATTTCAGTTCTATTTCATTGCCAGCTGTTAAAGGCAAGTAGTATAAGGGATTTGACGTCTTAGCAGTCATATATATATGCTTGTGCTTGTTCTGCTATACATGCATTTACAGTCCTCATTACTCATTCTATGCTTATAAGTAGATGTCATGTCAAAAGACAACAAAGTTGATTACTGCAGGATATAATGAACCAAGGCAATGCTCATTTAAGTCAGTGGAAACACTGTAATTAAATTTACTGAAGGTTAGAGCAGGCCCTAAGATGATAATTTCTGTCTGTTACCTATTTGTATAGAATAATGACTGTGCAGTGAGTAACCTATGTGTAATGTCAGGATTTTAATGATTGCTGTTGAAAAAGAAGCAGGTATGAAAGGTCTATCAAAATCATAGAAAATAATTTAAGTGAGTAATGACTTAGATTGTTGTGTAGCCTGTAGATTGAGGGAAATGATTACCTGCCTTTTCTTAGCTCTCATGAGACTGCATCTACAGTGCTGTGTCCAGCTTTGGACACAAAGAAAGAAAGGCACTGATTAAACTGGAGCAGACTCAGCAGAGCTCACCCAGATGGCTGGGGCTGGAGCACATGCCCTGTGAGGAGGTGCTGAAAAACTGCCTCTTCAGCCCGGATAAAAGATGAGTTTGGGGGGACCCGAGAGCAGCTCTCTAAAACCTACTGGGACATTGAGAAGACACAACATTGGGCTATTTACTTGAGGTGCATGGCAGGGGAGGGAAACAGCAGTCAAAAATTGGAACATAGGAACTTCCAATTATTCTGTTATGGGGATAATTAAGTGTTGAGGTGGGAGGTTAAAGAGAACATGAAATCTCCATTTTTCGACAATATCTCAGTACATTTTACCTCCACAAGCTATTTATCAGTGCTAATGGCCTAGAAGTTGTAGTAGTAGAGTCAGGTGGTGCTTGCTGCCTTACTGTTTTGAAAGCATAAAAGTTTTGGAGAAAAGATGAGGGCTTATAGAGAAGACTCAGCGTGAGTAAACAAATGTGTGTTCTGCATCCTCAGACACGTTTGAGGAGCTTCAGCAGGCTTTCTGTGAAAGTCTGGGAAAGTAACATTTCTGTGCAAGTCCTAGCTGGTAGAAAGAGGTTTCTGTTGGGATATTTCTGGGTTAGAAACAAGTCTTCTTAAAGTTTCTTTATCACCTCTTTACTCTGCTGTGAAGCACATGGTTTGTTTTAAGAATTACTGAACCTTAAAATGTTCCAAATATATTCTGGCATCAGTCTTGGTTGTGTATGCAAAGTATAAAAGGAAGTTTATATTTCCCTCCTACAGAATTTTGCTCTAATTAAATGTGTAATGATATTTCAGAGCAGAAGAGGCATATTAGGGTGCTTACAATGTATTCATATGAAACACTGAAAACTTCTGCCTGTTTGAAAATGAAAAATCAGCTTCTGGATTTTTTGGGCCTCTGGAATTTGTTTGAAGTATGCTGAAGATGAGGCGAATCCTATCCTGTTTCCCCCTCTCTCCTTTCCCTTCAGTGTTTTGACAAGATGAACAGATGAAGGTGGCTAGCTGAGAGCCAGTTTTGTGTTCTCCTAATGTTGAACTTCCCGGCAGAGGGAGCCCATAGACCAGCTCCAGGCTCAGCTGAGGCCAGTGCTTGCGGGAGATGCTGAGGGTTGCAAAATAAGTGAGCAGTGAGGTAATGCCCCGGCCTAATGGAAGATATGAGGCTGCAGGGAAGATATTCTGAGAGAGGAAATGCTAATTTTAAAGATTTTTAGGCGTTTTTCCAAAAACTAGCACTTCTGTTCAATAAAAAAGTTCCCTATAAGCTTATTTTAGAAAATACAAGGCTTGAAGAAGCTGCAGTTTTTATTAAAAATGAAATAGTTCAATTAGTCAGGTCTGTGTCAGATGCCAGACATTATGCTTAGCAGAAATCCTTACTAAGTCAAAGATATGACTCTGGTGTTGCTTATCTTTATTGAGACATGGTTCCAGCACTTCCTATGGGTGTATCAAATCCCTATGGTCAAGCTAAAACCATTAGTAAGCTCTTATAGTGTGTTCTCAGATAACAAAAAGCAGCTAACACCTTTTTTGGGGGTGTGTTGGTTGGGTTTTGTTTCTGTCACGTAGAATAATGATATCCTGGCACTTCCATAGCACTTTTCATCTGCCATTTGCAAAGTTTTCTGCAAGGAGCAAACTACTATCTTTATCTTGCAGAACAGAGATGGAGAAGTGAGAGACTTGCGTTTGATCCACACACTGGGCTGGTTGTGGACTTCTGGTTGGCCCAAAGTCTTTTTGGGCCAGCTCAGCGATCTGGTCTCCAAACCAGATAGCCATCTCTGCTTTTATTCCTTGGTGGTAGATTGTACAGGCTTATAAAAAATAAATAAATAAATTGGTCTTAGTATATTTCTAAACCTGTAAAATGTAAACAGCCGTTTTGTGAGTGGCAAAACTACACCTAGAATTTTATATTTGTTCGTGATAAAAGAAGAGCCACAATGGCATAACATTTGCACTGTAGAACAACATACACAACCCAAGAGCCTGTTCCTGCTTCAAGATGTTTCCCAAGTGATATATTTTCATAAGAGGGTATCATAAATCCTCCTGTATTTTCAAATTATTCTTAAGGGGTTTCTCTATTTTTTTTTTTCTCAACGGGCAAAAAGATGCACACCAGGACAGGAGGATGTGCTGATAAAAGGAATTGTTCCTACCTGATGCCATTCTCAGAACTGGATCTGCTGCTTTTCCAGTGCAGTTTGTTTTATACCTTTGCCCCTATCTTTTCTGTGTTCACCTCCTCCTGTGGGAGCATTTTAGGGGGACTGATGTAATTTTGTCTCCTCAGCAAGCATCATACCACCCAGATGTGAGTGAAGAAGTTCGAGAGAGAGCCCTGCGCTTTGGAACAGAATGTACCCTGGGATACTTGGAACTCCTGGAACATGTTCTCCTGGTAAGGAGGAATCTGCATGCATATGCTGGACCTCTTCCAACAAGTGTAAGATCTCGGACCTCTTTCTACAGTGGCTGCTAGGGACACATTTTTATCAGTTTGCCACAAGATTATGAACAATTTTGTTATTCAGGAAAAGCAAGCTAAAGTAAACTCAGTACTTCAGCTCAAACTGTGAGACAGAAGGACGAGTGTAAGTACTGAAATGGAACTGAACTGGATCTGAAAGGATCAGATCTGGAGGCAGTGTATGTCCTGAGCTAAAAATGGTGCCTGACAAAGAAATTAAATAAGACACTTCAGTATTTTTAAAGCTAACTACAAATATTAGGCACACTCCTGTCCCCCAGACTAAAGAGATTATGTAATCTTTATGAAAGAGTTTTACATGCCTTTTGCAATCTTGATTCCAGGAAAACAAACCTACTTTTTGCCATTTCAAAACCCCAAGCCTGTGCTGCCTCATGAAGAGTTATCCAATCCATGCCAGACATGACACCCCCAAAAGTATCTGCATAAAGCTTGTCCACTCAAATTCAAACTCAAGAATCCTCCTGTAAGTTGGCAGGCAACCAGTTCACCCATACATTGAATGGCAGCTGCAAAGAGAGTTTCTTGTGTGACAGTTCTCACATGGCAAAGTTAAGAAAATGGTTTAGTCAAAGTAAGGGGTTAGGCATTTGACTGCAAAATGAAAAACATGCTTACAAAAAGATAAAATGAATTTTCAATGTACATGTAGTTTTCAGAACTACTTTGCAAGGGAGTGTTTTAAAAACATTAAGAAAATGCACCCCTGCATATGAGTCCAAAAACTCAACCTTTTGTTTTGCTCTTAAATCTATGTATCTGTCACACTCAGAAACAGTTTTTAAGTATAAAATAATTTCCAGAACTTAATATTTTTTTCTTCTTATAGTATGGTAATTGAAAAGGCAAATACTGTTCCGGTTCAGGGGAAGAATTCAGCTTCACTGTCTGAATGTCTGATTGTTTTCCATTTGACGAAGCATAGTTTAATAGTTGATGCAAATTCAGTTCAGAGGTGTGTGTCTCCCCCTTCCATTTGTGGGTTGTGCCCAGGGTTGGCATTTTCACTGTGTTCACCATTGCTGATTTTTTTTCCAGAACAGGCAACAAGCAGTAGGCTGCAGAACTCTGCAATTCTGTTTCTTAGGAATAGTGGCCAATCAGTTTGTTAATACTAGAAATCAGCTCCTCTCCAGCAGTTTAGAAAGACTAAACCTGATGCCGAAGTATAGTGACTTCAATACCTGAGAACGTAGTGCTAAAGCTGCGTTTTCCTCCCACATGCTCACACATGAGCCTCTGTTTTGGAGAATTCTGTCCTAGTTTTAGTACTAGAGCTTTCAGACGGTATTGTCAGTTCCTGCAGAAATGCAAGACAATGCCCCTTTCCTAGTATGGATCAGACATTGCAGAGTAAGCCTTTGCTCCAAGCGATTCACTAACAGTTGCACTTCTCTCACTGGGCTTGTTTCCTCTCAGCTGATTGCTGTATAAAATAAAACTTGGAAGAGTGTGTGGGAATGTTCCAGCATTCTGTGGAATCCTTACTAATGAAGCCTTATTAATATACAGTATTATGTTTTCTTTTTCTCTAGATACTTCAAAAAGCAACTCCAGAACTAAAGCATCAGTTGGCCTCTTTCTCCAAGCGGGTTGCTGGTGCTGTCACAGAGCTCATCCAGTCAGCAGAAGCAATGAAAGGTGAGCTGGGCAGCCTGGCTTTTCACTCTAGAGATGATAATCTGTCAATTTTGTCATTTCCATAAAACCCAAAAAGTAACAAAAATCCTTTTGGTATGTGTGTATGTAGTACTGGCATGTACCTACTTTTACTATTTTAATTTCTCTGCTAGCATTTACTTGTTCACAGTGTTGTTAAATGTGTCTGTCTGACCATCTCCTGCTTCATATGATTGGTCATAAGTTGTGTCTAAATCATGTGGCCTTTGAAGATGGAACCATTGAGCAGAGCACTTGAGGCACAGTAGCAGAAAACAAAATATCACTTTTCTTGAAGTGCTGGCTGAGTTGTAATTGGATGGCTGGTTCCTTTCCTTATACTCATGTTTGTTCAGTCAAAGTAAGTCCTTTGCTTTGCAGTGATGGTTGCTTTCCAACTTCAAATAAAAAGGGACACCATCATCTTTTTGAATTAATACTGAGCCTCTAGCAATTATGTAATTTTTTTGTTGAGTACTTACAGTCCTCTGTCTAGGTCCTGCTGTGACAAAATATGTTAATGAAACAATGGGACTTCAGACAGTTGTGGTCTGGATCATTTCCTGAATTTTTAGAATTTAACAACTTCTGGACAAAATGAAGAACAGAAAATTATTCAACCTCTGTGCGAAGTTTGTTTGGATGGTTTTTTTTATGATTTCTCCACTCTAGAGCTTTCTTTTGGCACAGGCAGAGATGGAATCTAATTTTCAGGTTGCTTCAGAAAGAACTATCTGTGCCAGTCTCCCCTGTCCTGGAGTCTGCTGTGTTTCTCAGTTTGTGCTTCTCACCTCGTACAGCAAACAGCTTCTGCCACAGTCAGTGTCCTTTACAGTAGATCTGTGATTTATTCCCAGGAAAGATGAAAACAATTAATTCTGTGAGCTACAGAATAATGAAGTCTGATATCCTAAGTATTTATCTTGTTGAGCTCATGTGGCAGTGTTTCCATGAAGGAAAATAGCTGAAGCAACTTGTAGAAACTAAATATTTTTGAGACTGCTGCAGATACACTTTAAATGAATGAATTTGATTCATTAAGGGTAGACAGAATTGTACTTAGATATGCACACACACACAGTGACCTGCTTTCACACAAACAGCATGAGCCTGTTTTCCTTAGGGAATGAAACTAAAAATATAGACTAGAATAAAACAGTTCCAGTTGCAAGTGGCCTGCAATGATCATCTAGTCCAACTGCCTGACCACTTCAGAGCTGGTGACAAGTTAAAGCATGTTTTTAAGGGTATTGTCCAAATGCCTCTTAAACACTGACAGGCTTTGGGTCATCAACCACCTATTCAGGAAGCCAGCCTATGTGGCTATGGGATTCAGGATGGTTGGACTCAGTGATGCTTATGAGTCCTTCCAACTTGAGACATTTGATGATTCTAAATATAAATTCAGCACTGAAATAAGCAATTAATTCCATTGCTTAGCAGAAGTTCTATTTTCTGATATTTTTCGCAGATACTGGCTTCCTTAGTAAAATTTTTAGCCAGTGATGCATGCAAATTCTTATGATGACAGTTCTAACATTCTACATTTTAAATTATAAGAATGGTGTTATTAAATATTAGACCACTACTGCTGAAGAGCTTCTACTGCTAGATTTAACGGGTACTTCAGCCTAAAGAAATCTTCACAGAAAGGCATAGGAGCAGTCTGATCTCATAGGTAATAGAATGCTACAGGAAAATATTTTCAGTAAAGCATTCTAATAACTTTTTTATTCTGCCCCACAGCCCCCCTCCAACAAAAGCTTCTAGTAAATTCATATTTGTTCAATCATTTTTTCCTAAGCTAGACCAGAGAACACTACACTCATTTTTCTGGTACTCTGTGTAATACATACTGCATGTTTTTCTCAGTTATTTGCTGCTTGTAGCAGTACACATTTCTTAGAGAAGAAACCTGACTAAACACTTCCCTTATATGGGAATTCCTTATTATTTTCTTGTTTGGGGTTTTTTTTCCTCCATGTTTTAATGTAGTTCTTCAGTTTCATATATCAGTGATCTAAATTATGCTTTTTCCCTGTTCAGGTATGAATTTAGAAGTTTTCTTTCTGGTTTCCTTTTCTTTCTCCATCTGATTTTCCTTTTGGCTTTTTCATTGCTTCCTTCAATCCAGAACATGAATGCTTTCTGAATTTTGTCATCCAGAGAACAATGTTATGAAATTGCAAATAATAATAATGTGTTGAGAACTTCCAAAAATCTGAGATCACCTCCAGCTAAGTATTCATTTTGCAGACCTGTAAAATACCTTTGAGCCAACAAAATGCCAAAAACTCAGTACAGCCAATTCAACCTCCCACTCCCATGCCCTCCAGCCCCCCCCCCCAAAAGAAAAAAAGAAAAGAAAAAAAAAAAAAGTTGACCTTTGGATATGGTACAGAAACTGCTTTGGCTTTCTCTACATTGCTGTCAGAAACACATTGCCAAACAGGTGGTTTCTTCAGTCAATGCTAGCTTCATCTCTAGCCACTGTCAAAAAAGAGACTCTGAGAAGTGTGCTGTGGGTGATTCTGTTGTCTATAAAATGTTCTATTTGTGAATGTACTTCTCAGTGTAAATTACAAGTCGGTCAAGTTAGAAACTAGTGACAGCTAGTTTTGTTCCCAGTATGCACAATATCCCTTTTTGAAGCTGCTTCACTTACAGTTCTTAATTATGTTACTTGCATAACTGAATCGTCCAGCTAAATACTTCAGTACATTTTTCACTCTGACATTTTGCTCTCAGTGGCATAAGCTGCAGTATTTTTATGCTATTATGGCACTAAAATCAGCTTTCTCCCATGTGCATTCTATATTTGACACTTGAAGTGTGATTGTAAATCACCCTGTGTGAATGGCAGCTCAGGGTGACACTGAAGTTATTGTCTTGGTCTCCATTAATTTCAGGGACAGAGTGGGTGGATCCAGAAGACCCAACAGTCATTGCGGAGACAGAGCTACTAGGGGCTGCAGCATCAATTGAGGCTGCAGCAAAGAAGTTAGAGCAGCTGAAACCAAGAGCCAAGCCAAAGGTGAGTGTCCATCCCCATTGATTCTTTGAAGTTAATAAAGCAGAAGACGCATATAGCCCATATGTGGGTGCATGCTTTGTTACTGTCCCTGATAACTGGTATAAACAATCAAACCCTGCATCAATCTCAGTGCTACTAGATACTGCAGTGGATGCGACCTACCCCTGAAGGAAGAGGGTAAAAAGATTCTTTTCAGGGAGTGACTCAAGTGCCAGCCATGAGCAAGCAAAGGAAGAAAAAGGTAGAAATTATGTGAAGAATTACAGTATCATTAGTGTTGTTTGTTTACTTTTCTGTTCCAAACACATTATACTGATGTGGAAAGTCACTCTCACTTGCTTTCCTTAAGACCCTTTGTTCTCATCTGAATATGTGTAGTATATCTGGAGAAAGCAGCAGTAACACAGAAGCATTCAGCAGAATGCAAAAGACCTTCAGGGTTTTCTAAGATTAAAACTGTAACATTTTAGGCTGTGCTAAAAGAGTAGCTGCTTCAGTATCAAATCAGATATGTCATATGACCATTTCTATTTAATTTTCCTGAAGAAAAATGAACTATAGTTCATTATGAAAGCAAGTAATCTTGCATGTTGCCAGGTCATTTCAAATGTGTCTCTGAATATATTACATAAAATGAAGCTGTCCATTTTCACACATGGTACTGAGGGAATGAAAGAAGCTGCAGTTATTTGTGATTGTATTCATAGCTCATGTGGCTGGACCACAGAAAAATGCTACCTTTTGCCTAGTGTGAAATAACAGGCAGGTTTCAGAAGAAATGACCATGCTGCCAAGAATAGCATCTCTAAGATGAAAATCATGCTTTGGCTATGTAATTGACTTCTGGAAAGGACTACATATCTATTTCCCTGTTTTTGCTGCTTTATAGGTGCAAAACTGTTTTCTAAGTTAAGCTAATGAGAAGTCTTTCTATAAAGCAGGGCCTCAAGAACATTCAGTGTTGGATGATTGTTTTCAGTGTGGGATGATATGTTGTCACTCAGGAACACCAGATTAAATAGTTCTTGGTAGCTTCAGTTTTTGAGGACTTCCCACCCCCTGCCCCCTTTGCTTAGTAATGGAAATAAATGAGCTCATGAAAAAGAAAAAAAATGCTCTTTGTCCTGCATTTTTTAACAAGTACATCCATTTTGTTTATAAAGAAAAATGGTCCTTTATAATGAGATTCTACAGAGCACAGGCTGAGTGAGGAGAGGAAGAGTCCTCCTTCACCTTTTCTATACAATCACTGCACAATAGCATATGTGTGTTGCCTAGTAACCATGGAGCAGTTTCCCCCCAACGTCTAAGCCAGGGTCATTGTAATTTCCCAGTGAATACAGATCTCACACCTGCTTCTCATTTAACATGTTAATTTGAGTACCCAGTCTGCGGGTGATGTATTGGTCTGTTTATTTGTAATTTTCTGAAACTAAGATTCATATCCAACTGTTTAATTTGGGATTTAAACAGTCTTTACATCCTTTTTGAGATGTTTAAACCCTTTCACAATATGGATTGTATTACATCTCAAAGGTACTAGGAAAGTCAGAGTGGCTCAAATACCACTTTTTTTCTACTGAAGACTTGTAGCTTGTATCCTCCCAGAGTAGGATTTCCTGCTTTGAACAAGCTCTGTCTTTCTGATCCTCATTTCTAACATAGATGGTGTTGTAGTGTGAATGCCTAGACTAGGTAAGGGGGTTGATAAAACTGAGTTTCTTATGCTTAGTCTATGAAATACAAGAATAGTAGCTAACTTCTACAGAGGAACAGACCACTGGTGCAGCTAGACCAATATCCTGCTTTGGTAACTAATCATCATTAAGTGAACTGGCATACAAGTCAGTTGGTAACTTCAGAATACAAGTTAGTTGGTAACTTCAGAATAATCTGCCTGCAGGAAATCCATATCTTCATCATTATTAATTGGTGGTTGGTTTTCTACTTCTAGGTAAGCTTCTGTTATTCAGGCAGGGAGTGGGAGTCATTTGATTTAGGCTTGAAATCTTCATCTTTGTATGTTCCAGTTTGCCTGTTACTTCTAAAGCAAAATCAATAGTTGAAGGTAGAGTTCTTTCTTGTTTGTTCCACTATCTTAATTTTTTTAAACTTTTGGATTTTTTAATTCCTCTCTCTTCCTTGTTTTCTCTTTGCATTTTTGCACTTATCATATCCCCTTAATGTCTTAGACTGAGACCCACAGCATGATCTCTTCATTTTCCACTACTGGGTACCATCTAATCCCAGAGAACAGTCTCTAGTAGGACAGAGACCTGATAACTGCTGCCCGTGTTTTATTGATGATGTATATTCAGTTTGCTTTAAATCCTGGTCTTTTGGCTGCTGTTGAGTGTGCTCCTAAAATGCCTAGTCCACTAGCCCACTGTCCCATTGATACCCTGTTAATACCTGTCTTCTGAACTTTTATATTGCAAATGCCTTGAGAACTCTAGGTGTTGTTACTCCTCCCTCTAATACAAAACTTGTTCAGTATTATTCCCATAGCAGTGTTCAAGCACTGCACTGTGAAGCAATGAGATCTTTATTGTTTATTAAGCAAGTCTTGGCTGGTGGATTTCCTTTACACTTTACACTTTACAATTACACTTTTATTGAGTGTGGACTAATTTTTTCCCTGTTTTCTGTTTTTGGAGGGTCAGGTGTCTTGCAATGCAGCCACATATTCCTCCTGTTATGCAAATAAGCCACTGGCTGTAAAATAACCTCTAAAATCAGCAATTTGTTAAAGAAAGACATTTTCTCTAATAAAAACTTTATGCTTCACTAATACTAGAAAAAGAACACTTAAGGGAAAAGGTGCAGTAGATGAGGTACAATGGCAGAGAGCATTGTTGCACCTACCCCATTCCGTTGGTATGCTCTTCATGCTTCTGTGCAGTCTTGTACCTTCAAACACAAGGCAGTAAGAGTTCCTTGCTGTTAGCTTTCTGTAGTTTGTCCTTTTATTTTCCCCAAGATGAATCAAACCTGGATGCCTTTTTCTGCAGGACTCTGTGTGATATGTTTGATATATTAGGTTGTTATTTAATCCAACTATATATCAAACATATTCCTACAGTGTCCTGCCCTGTCTCCGGGGGTTTTAACATAGTAGAAGGCAATATGAATTCACTCTCAAGCAGGTTTAGAAGACTTCCTGCAGACTCCTGGTCTTATCTGATTTAAAATATATACATGAAGGGCTTCTTTAGCTGTAGAGTTGGTCTTTGAGGGACATTCAGGGTTGTGTAGGGCCTTTTATGACAGTGAGCAGCAGCTGTGCCAAGAATTGATTTCACTGAAATGATTATTGTGTGTTCCAAACCCATATTGGTTTTCTCTTTATGAAACAGGAGATGAGAGCTGCTTCAAAATAGAATTGTTTGTCTTCTGTAATTTATTTCTACTATTTAGCAATGAGATTGGGGGCTTCTTTGTTCTCCTTTTTTTTTTAATTGCACAACCCACTTTTCCAGGCTATTTCATGCTATGGACTTTGTATCTAGTCTAAGAATTTTGATTTGTCTGTTCTTGTGACTTCATATTCCAATCCATTTATACCCATGCTCAGTCAGTAACAGCTTATTAGTTTAAGCTTGTGGAAAAAGAGATGCTGATCTTCATGGGGGCTACTTGAGGAGGGAGAAGCTAATCAATTGTCTCACAGATCTGCTTTCTGAAGAAACCAAAGTAGCTAACAGAAATTAAAGTAACTAAAATTTTACAAGGTGAAAATTTTCTGCCAGATTAGTTCCTAACTTGGTTCATGAAGGCTGTGAACTGACACACATTGTGAGGGTAGTGTTGATAAGTGTGAACTTAACAGTTCAAGCAGACACTCTTTGATAATGGGAATGGGTAGAAGAATTATTTCTCTTCTAGGGCATTTTGCTATATTCAGTCTTGGACTGCTACGTGTCCTTATTGCTAATGAATGTAGGGATACATCCCACAGGGCTGACTGAGTATTGTGCCTACCTTACTTTTCACACATGAGCATCCAGCCCATAGCTGTTATACCTGAGAATGCTGAAGGGAAAACTGCAGGGCAGGACTAGAAAAGCAGGATTTGTTAGAAAGGTTGAAAACTCAACAGAAGTTCCACAGTTTGAGTGCTGTGTAAGGCTGCTTCAAAGATGCTCTATCTATGGAGATACTAAGGTTTAGCTAC